ACAGATCTGTACAGGAGCATCTGAGCACAGAAAAACTATGGAAGGTCACGGTGGGAGCAGAATTCTAAGGTGACCCCATGATCTCTGCCCCTACGGTTACTCCCATGATTAAGTACATGGGCAAGAGAGATTCTGCCGGTATAATTAAGGTAACTGAGCAGTTGATCTTAAGATACAGAGATTACCCAGTGGGCCCAACCTAATCATGTGAGTGACTTCAAAGCAGAGAGTGTTCTCCAGCTGGTCACAGAAGAAAAGGGTCTGAACAAGGGGCTCCCCCTGCTCTGATGGGAGGGGCTACAGGAAAAGGAGCTGAGAGTGGGCTCTGGTCCACAGCTGGCAAGAAAAAGAAAGGAAACAAAACATGGAGATTTCGGTCCCACAGCCCCAAAGAACTGAATTCTGCCTTGTCAGCCAAACTTTGTGGGAAAGTTGTCTACACACAGGCTTCCTCTCTTTTCTCCTATTCACCCTTCTGTATAAGTAGGAAACATTTCAGGCATCCAGAAGGGTACGAAGAACAAAATAATGCACCCGCTGCAGCCTGAAGAAATAAAGAACATTCTAGATATGGCTGAGCCTTCTCTCTCCTATCCAGAAATAACAGCTACGCCGATTTGGGGTCATAACTCCCATGTGCAGATTTATTTTTTTTTTTCCATGTATTAAGTATGGCCAAGATATTATATACATACATAGTAAATATCTCTGAAAAATATATTTAATTTGCCATTTTTTAAAAAACTGATGAAATGGTATCATACAATATGAACACACCCACCTGCTATGTGTGTCTCCAGCTCATTCGTTTTCAGTGCTGTATGGTATTCCATTGCAATATATTAAAAGGGACCCATTTTTCCTGTTGGTCAATGAGCAAGTCAGTCTCCAAGATGGCCCCTAGTGACCTCCTGCTTTTCGAGCCCTTTTGTAGTCTCCTGCCACCGTGAATAGGGCCCGTTTAATCACAAAGACATGGCGGAAGTGGCAGTGTGACTTCCATGGTCAGGTCATGTAAGACACTGCGGCTTGTGCCTGGCTCTCTCAGATCACGTGCTGGGGTTAAGTCGGCCGCCATGCTGTGAGGACACTCGGTCAGCCCTATGGAGAGCTGAGGCCTCCTGCCAACAACCAGCATCGACATGCCAGCCGACATCTCACATGTTAAATCATCTCGGCATTCCAGAGATTCATCAAACTTGGTCATGATGGTTTTCATATACATTTCTGGTTTGGTTTTAGTTTTCAAAATCAATATTCATAAGTGAATTTGGCTCATAACTTTTCTTTATCATGTTCCCTTTCTCTGGTTTTGATATGAAGGTGAGATTTGTTGTAAAAAAATGTTTCTTCTTTTTCCGTTTTCTGGAATAGTCTGATGTAAAATATTGGAATAATCTTGTCACTGAATATCAGTAAGAATTGGCCTGTACAACCTTCTAGGTTTTGTTTTTGTGAATTTACTTTGGTTTTGGTGGGGACATTTTCAAACTACTCATGCCATTTCTTTTCAAGGTTATAAATCCATTCAGGTTTTCTATCCTTCAGTGAGTTTGGGTAGGTTACCTTTTTCTACGAGATTGTCCATTTCGTCTAAGTTTTCAAATTTACTGCCATAAAGCTATCTATAAGATCCTTTAGATGAAATTGAAAAAAAAAAAAAAACCTACCATATTTGTAGCTATATCCCCTTTTAAATTCCTAAGATCGCTTGTGTACCATCTTTAGTTTTCCTCGACAATCTTCCCGGTTTTGACTATTTTATTAGTCTTTTCAAAGAACCTACTCTTCACTTTGTTGATCCTCTGCACTGCACGTTTATTTTGTCTTTATTTTCTGCTCTGTATTATTTCCTTTCTTCTCTCACTGAATGTATATCCTTTTTAACCTAGTTCTGTAGGCACACAGCTCATCAACTGCCAGCCTTTACTCTTTTCTAGGGTAAGCATTTAAAGCCATAACCCTCCCCTTCTAAATACCACATTGGCTGCATCCCACAAGTTGCATTTTCATTACTGTTCAGTTCTAATTCACATTAAAGTGTCTTTTTTGATCCTGACTTATTTGGGAGCATTCGAATGTGTAAACGTATGAGTTCTGTGTAATTTGCTCAACCACTGCCTTCCAACACCCATCCTCTCCTTCTCCCATCGCATAATGGTGGGGAATGGTGGTCGTGTAACCAGCTGATACAAACTACAACTTCCGGTCTCCCTCACAGGTAGGCAGGGCCTTGTGACTAAGTTCCAGTCAGTGAAAGACGAGGGAATGTCATCTTCTAGGGACTTCCAGGAAAGCTCCATAGGAGGAGGACACAGTCTGCAGGGACACCTTTGGCCTTGCCCCCTTCCTTCTTTCTTCCTGCCTTAAATGAAGATATGATGGCTATGATGGCAGCGGTCCCGCCACCATCCTGCACCTTGAGGTGACCTTGAGGATGGAAGGCATGGACTACAATGGTGGGGCTGAAAGTGCAGAAGCCTGGGTCCCTGGGGACCAGGAAAGCTCCCCCACCAGCCCTGAACTTACTCCCTCTGTAATGCGAGAGAAAAGCACCCTGTATGGAGTTCAGTAATTGTTATCTGGCCAAATGCAATTCCTAACCCATAAAGAGGTCTTTAAGATATCACTTTGATGTTGGTTTCTTGATTACAAGATACTTCACACACACACACACACACACACACACACACACACACACACACACACGAAAGCATTTACAACTGAGACTAACAATAAAATGAACACCATTTCCTCCACCACCCAACCTGCAAAAAGTAGAACATTTCCAGTCTGCTTTCTTGCAGCTGCACCTCCCCTGCTTCTCCCCACCTCTCGCCCTTCCTATTCTGAATTTTATTTCACATTCCCTTGTTTTTCCTTTATAGTTATACGTCACATTTTGGTCACCCTAAATTATACTGCCCTATTTTGCTTTTCTGTAAACCTTACGTAGATTGTACCACACTGTGTGTTTTTCTGTGACTGTCTCTCTCCCCTCAACACTATGAGACACACCTACCCCGATGCATGAAGCTTTGGTCCATCTAATCTCACAGCTTTACGCTGTCTGCTGCGTGAATACACTCTCTCCACTCCCCGTTTAGGGGTATGTGGGTCATCTCGAGCTTCAGGCTATTACAAAATGCTGCCGCAAACACTCCCTACTCGTCTCCTGGTGACCCGTGGGACGGTCTTTCTAGGAAAGTGCTTCCTGACTTTTCTGATACCATGGCATGTGAGGGAAACGATGACATCCCCATGGCACGCTGGAGGTAAACTAGAGGGTTGTAGGGTTCTGGACACGGCTGCAGCGGTGGCCCACAAACTCTGGCCACCTCAAGGGATAAAGAGACTGGTAAGGTTAAACTCACCAGTGCCCCACAGTGTGGGAGTGGAGCCCCCAGGGCAGAAGGAATGGAGCACAGGGTGCGGGCACGTCGGCCACACTAGACAACAGCCACCTTCTCCTGAAGGGACCAGACAGCGTGTAATCCCCCTGCCTCCTCGCCAAACCTGAATATTGTTAGGCTTCATTTTTGTAAAAGAAAAATAGCTCTGTGGTCTTAAATCCTATTTTCCTCACTAACAAGATCGAGCACCTTTCCATGTCTATTGTCCATTCTTAGTTCCTCTTCTGTGAAATACCTACGCATCTCTTTTGCCAGTTTATTGGGTTGTTTCATCTTTTCAAATAGACTTTTTTCTTCATCCTTAATATGGCCTGGATAGTAATCATTTGTTTTACGTATTATGAAATCTCCCGGCTTACAGCCTGTTTTTCAATTTTCACTGTTCATTACTCAATACGATTAAGAGATTCTGTTCATCAGTCTCCACGGTGTGAGCTTTCTCGTGTCTTCTTTAGGAAATTCTTCTCTATGCTGTGTGTCATTGTTCCTAACTTACTGTTCTGCAGTCAGAGAACACGTTCTATGAAACAGGTAACTTGAACTATGTTGAGTCTTACTTTCTGGATCTAGCATGAGGTTATTATTTTTTTTTTTACATGTCCAAGTGCTTGAGAATAACATGCATTTTCTAATTGTTGAGTGGAAGTTTCTATAACAAATGCCCAATAGATCAGGGACGACAAATGCCAGCCGGGGGGAATGGGTGACAAATCCAGCCCTGGCCATCTGTTCACATATTGTCCAGGGCTGCTTTCACTCTACAAAGGCAGAGTTTGTATAGCCTCACAAAGCTGAAAATATTTCCTATCTGGCCCTTTACAGGAAAAGTCTGCCAAGCACTGTTGTTGTGTTCAAAACTGTTTCCCTTCTACTTGTCGTCTGCTTAGTATCAATTAATGAAAAGAGTCGTTTAAAAATCTTCTGTGACAATGACACTTTTGGCAATTTCGGTTAATCTTTGCTTTATGTTGAGGTTATTTTACTAGGTGCAAAAAAAATTAAATTGGTCCCCTTTCCTGCTGCACTATTTCTTCTCTCATTAATTCAGTGGTCCCTTTTGTCCCTAGTAATTATTTTTGCTTTGAAATGTTTGGATAACATTGTTACTGTAACAGCTTTCCATTGGCCTTTTTTCCATTCTTTATGTCTTACGTTTTGGGTGTGTCTCTCATAAATAAAGAGCATACAGCTGGGCTTAGTTTTTCCATGGACTCTTGACAATCTCCAAATTTTACTCAGGAAGCTTAGTCCATTTATTATGTATATAGTGACAGATATATTTCGTTTCATTTCCACCACCTTAGATTGTATTTTCTTTCTACACCATTTTCTCTATGCTTCCCACCTCCCCGCCCCCACCTCTTTCCTGCCTTCTTTTGGATTAAGATTTTTTAACTCCATTTTTTTTGTACCACTAGTGATATGAAGTTTTAACCTTTTCATGTTTTTTCCCTATTATAACATGAATTCTAGACTTCAAGTAAGTCGAAACGTTCATCGGTGACTTTACCCACCAGAACGACAGTATGAACATCTGAACTGTTATCATCAGATTTAAACCCCTCTGCTCGCTTCTTTCTTGCTTACTTTTATTGTGTTTTTTAATGGAGAAATACATCATCTGTTTTCAAAATAGTGCTTGAAAAATACAAGGAGTACAGATACTATAAAACAAAGCAAACTCCAGTCATGAGATACTATGCACACCATATGAAAAAAATAGTCTGATATTCAGGTAACGAAAACTAGAATTAAAAAGCTCCAACTTCCCAGCTTGGTAAAACAAGTACAGTTACACGAAACATTTAATAAACTAATTTTTCGCCAATGTGTGAACAAAATGACAAGACTAAATCTGTGCGTGGCAATTTCAAGGACACAATAGCTATTCCAAATACACAGGTACTGTACACACTTCACCTGATTTTATTGTGGTGGAAGGGGACTGCACAGGTAGTGGGAACACTGTGTATTAGGCGTCAGAAAGTCATGGTGAACAGAAAGTCTCAATTACTGCACAGCCCACAACAGAAATGACTATATTCCAACTTTGGGGGAAATTATTTAAAAGGATAGGGAAAGGGTTTAAGAAGCTGCAGTTTAACATGAAAAACGCACACGTGGTAGAAAGGAACACTGTTGGGGGACAGGAAGAATCAGCATCAGGCTATTTGGAAAACCTGTTAGGTTTGCTGTGTCCAGATTAAGAAAGACTGTTTTCATTCACCTACAACTGTTGAGAAACATGAATGTTCTGCTGCTAATTATGAGCTGTCTTTTTTGGTTTTTTTTAAAAAAAGGTTATTATTTCGAATCTTTTGCAGGATAAAACAAAAGAGTAGAAAGCTGACTAGATGTCAAGTGCTTGCTAGAAATTTCTGATGTTTCTACATGTAAGTTTTACTGATGAATTTTAGGAAGTCATTTACAAATAAAAATTGGTTTAAAATTCTGGAGAAAATGCTTTTTTGCTTACACGTTTAAATTAGAAATTAACTTTCCTATAAGCAGGGATTCTGTGGAGTATACAAATCTTCTCTTATGTGGAGACCAAATGACCATCCAAGATGGATAACATGCTTCACAGGAATTACTTTCAGTAAAGCTTTACTAAAATATTAGCCATGTGGCCACAGGACTGTTGGTTTCACATCATGGTTAAGAAAATACTAGCATACTGAGTTTTCTGTGAAACGATATATAAGCATACCTTGTGCACACAAGCAAAGAGAAGGCGGCGGGGGCAGGGGACACAAAAAGCTCTTTTTCTTTTAGGGCAAATGATTAAGGACAAGAGAATATGGAGCTCTGTTAGCTCAGGACAGTATCTGCTGTTTGATGGCTGACTGTATGCACTCTGAAACAGTTCTTCAGATAAAACCAATCATTTCTTGATCCCGTCCCATCAAAACCAAACACTTACTAATTACTGTTTCAATGCCAAATATATACCCTAAGAGTTGACATTTCATTTTAAAGGGTTACAGCTCTCACAGGGACAGAGCTAGATGTACTTTATGCTTTTTCTGAAGTACAGTACACCACTGCACAATGGGAACCAATCTGAAGATTAATAATGAAGAACATCATTCAGGAAAAATCTGAAATTCATCAAGCTGAAAAATCTAAAATTTGTTCTACTGTCTAATAAAAATATAAAGTGCATCACCAGCATGGAATTCTGATACTAGTCTGTACTGCAAACTTTCCCCAACAATGCATCCAACATCAATCCAGTCCCAATGTCAGTCATGGGTACAAACATAGCTGGAGGGTTTTTTTTCTCTCTTTTTCCTCTTTAAGGGCAGGAGTCCTTCGAAATAGTTAGTGTTTAACTGTGGCTGACACATAAATAATCTGACACGTTAATTAACAGTACTTCTGGCTTCACAAACTAACCTGGACTTCTGATTAAGATAAGCCCAATAAAGGAAGTCATCAAATAAGCCTAACAAAGCTATTCTGAACCATGTCTAGTTTGGTGCCCTTCGTCCTCCTCCTTTAGCATTTGAAGACAGCAGGCTGAGTTGGCAGACGCTGCTTACAGACCCTTGAGATCGTTCTTCTCAATCTGTTTTACTGAATTCTTGATAATAGGAATAAGATTTGCAGGGAGAGCAGGGATACTGAGAAGGTCTGCACTGGATGTTCCCCATGAGGCCAACAGAGAAGCTGCTGTCTGAATAGTTTCCAATTGAGTCGCACCTGTCTCTTTATGAGACCGTTCCTCTTCTGTTTTGGTTTCCTTGGTCCTGTCTTCTTTGTGACGTGACAATGTCCTCTAGACTCCTATGATAGGGTTAGCTATGTTTGCTGCTGCGCTCCCTGAAGGCCTGGGTGGATGGTTGACCAGAGGTGTTGAGGAAACAACTCTGGTGACCATGGGCTTCGGCGGTGGAGAAATATTTGGTTGTGGGGCAGTCTGAGGGACGCTTCCGCTGGACGTGCCCCCCAGGCTGTCGCTGGGATTTGCTTGTTGTAAGGAAACTTCAGGAACCTGTACGCTGGTCACAGATGCTGCCATCACAGCCGGGGCAGGAATGCTTCTGCCCTGAGCGCTGCCAGTCACTGGGCCAGTCTTCATAGAGCCAGGAAGTGAAGACACAGACGTGCTGTCTTCACTGTCTACAGACAAGTCGAGGCTGCCGTCATCCAAAGCTGTCCATCTGACACCTTCCATCGAGTGTGTTTTCTTTTTCTGAAGCACGTGACCAGGTAGTAGTTGATGAAGTTCCTTTCTTCTCAAATGCATTGCAGCAATTTTCATATCCATCTCAAACATCTTACTATTTATTGCTTGCCTATAAACTGTATCTGTGAAAGACTGGATATCATAGGTGAGATCAATACTGAGAATGTCAGAGTTTTCTGGCTTTTTTAACACTAACCCAATCACCCACATTGTACGAAATTCTTCCCTGTCAGGATTTTCCTTGGGTGCTGGAAACGACTGAGGATTCACATGTGCCAGTGTAATAAATTCATTCTTCTCCAAGCTTCCAACCAGGATTCGGATTTTTGATTCCACCAAGCCCACCCATTCTAGATGTTGTTTTTCTGTTGGCGCACTTGCTAGAAGTACAATATAATGCTTGTACTTTTGAAAGAAGCTGGGAGCTTCAAAAAGTTTGGACCACTCTGCCTTACTCAGCAAAATCTCATGTGTAATAGCAAGCCCTTGCTTAAACTCCTCAATCATGACCATCCTTGTTGAAACAGACACGTTGTACGTGGAGTTCTGCTGTGGGTACGCTGGTGTAATTATAGGCATGAGATGGTACCTATCGCTGGGATTTACTCTTGGGTCCCAGACAGGCAAATTAAGATTCCGTTCTTCAGGCTCTTTCAGTAGCACTGGATTTGGCCATTCCCATTCAGAAAACACCAAGAAAAATTTACGTACAAGAGTTGATGCTATCGCATTTGGATAAAGCTGGCAAGTTCTTGCTACTAGCATCGCCCAGGAAACACCTCCTAGGAAACCTAATATATTGGAATAGATATTGTGGCATTTGGCCCACAACTTGATGGCTCTCAGAGTTAATCTGAAGTTGTCAATGTTTGGTACCAGATGTAAAATCTCATCAGTTACCCGGCAACCATTAAGACTTCTTATGCACCTAATATCTAAGTTTTTAAGCAGACTGTCATCTCTTAGGTCCAAATCTTCCGGAATAGTCTGCAGTGCTAATCTTGCAAACAAAATATCAATCTCTATCCCATCAAAACACAGTTTGATAACTGGTACAAATGCCTCTTCAACAGCCCTTAAATCCTTTACTTCTTCATGTAGTTTCAATTTACCATAGAAGGAGGTGAAAAAGTCGCTTCGATCAACATGTCTTGGTGCCACGCACAACGCGTCGATATCGGCACCTTTCGTATGCACCCCTAATCTATAAGAACCGAATGTAAAGATTTTCCCTCCAACGTTTTCTATTACAGCTTGTGGAAGACTCTTGCTTTCACTGATTTCTCGTATCCATTCCTTTACCAGGTTATTTAATTTCTCCAAAATTAAAATCCTGCGCTGTAGTTCCTCTTCCTCTTCAAAAACCCCAAAGGGCTTCAGGGTTTCAATTAATTTCTGGGTAAGTATGCAGTCAGTCTCCCTGGGGGGTGCTAAACTGATGGGGGAGGAGACGCCATAGTGCTTGGGCGGCGGCGGGGTCTGTTGTGATCCCGGGGTGGTCACCGGCAACGGCATCATCTCTAGCGCTGGCCCCGCCACGCCGCGTCCCCCGCCACCGCGACCTCCGCGGCCGCCCGAGTCATGATCCGCTGAGGCGGGAGGGGCGGGGCTCCTACCAGCCCAGGTCCGACCCGCTCCCGCTCCGCTCCCGCCGCTTCAAGCGCCTCTCCGCCGTCCCCTCGGCCCCAACATGGCGCCGGGGCCCTAGCTGCTGCGTTCTAGAACGCCCACGCACGCCACGCCGCGCGCCACGCACACCGCGCGCCACGCGTGCCACGCGTGCCACGGCGCATGCGCGCGCGCAGAGCCTCACGGGGGCTGTAGTTTCCAGGTCTCCGCCGCGGCTTCTGGCCGGTGGGGGCCGGCACGGCTGCGCCCCGGGGTTCGGCCCTATTACAACTGTTTTAGACGTTTGCTCAGACCTACCGTCCAACTCCTTGCTCGCCATTCTCTACACCCCGGGTCTCCTTCCTCTCCAGTGGCATCTTCAGGTGGCCTTTGCCCTCTGGCCCATCCTTCGGAATCCCTCTATGGCAGGGTCCGTTGGTGGGAAGCAGCTCCGTGGCATCCTCCGTGGCCCGGCGCCTGGGTGGTGGGGCAGCCAGGACCGCAACTCTGGGTTCTCAGTCCTGTTCTCTCCAGCTTTGAAGGCCCCATCGGCTGACCTCTGGTTTCTGCGGTTCCGGGTGGGGAGCCTGCTGCTCGCCTGTCTTTTCTTCTCGGCGACTGTAAAAATCTCTGAAGTGTCCTGCAGTATCACCACTAGGCAGCAAGGGGTAAACTTTTCGTTTATCTTACAGAGGAAGCACTGTGATTCCTGAATCGGAAGACTGCTGCTTTTCATCCCATGCTCCCGGATGACTCTCAGGTATGTCCGTGGAGCATGTCCTCACCCCATTCTCTTGATCCTCTTCACGTGGACATGTGACAGACCTTCTCATCCCGTTCCCCGTGTCTCTCAACCCACGTTTCTGTCTGCGTGATGCCAGGTCTACCTCGTCCTCTAATTCTCTTCAGTTATATTTAGTCTGCTGTTTAAGCCATCGTTGAAGTAACCATTTACAAACTTGCATTTTTATTACTAAAAGCATTATCTTGTTCTTTTCCAAATCTTCCTTGCCTTTTGGGATGACATTCTGTTCTTTCCTGTTTTCTTTCTACCTTTTATTTCATTAAACATTTTTAAAATACTTACTCAATCTTTTATATCTAATGGTTCCAATTCCTAAGTTCTTGAGAACCTGATTCTACAGTTTGTTTTCTACTGACTCTTTTCAGGAAGCATCACTTCAAGTGTCTCGTCATTTTGGACTGTTAGCTCGTCTCTGGCCAGGCTTGGGATGCCTGTGTAGACGTCCTTCCAAAGAGGGTTTACTTTGTTTCTGTCCAATGTCCTTGTACACTATCAAATAACGTACACAGTAATTTAATTTCTTATCCAGTGATTATCCAGATCACTTAAGTAGTGCAATTTTGAACCCCAAACACCTGAGAGGAAAGGTGATTTTCAATTCTAGGAATGAGTAGTTTTTCCCACCCAGAGCCCAGGTCAAGAGAGATAATAACTCTCTGTCATCTCCTTTCACCAGGTAGCAGATTCTTCCTATTCTGTCTTTTCATTCAGTGTGTCACCTTTACAGTTTCCCAATATATGTGAGGGTCTCAGTCCCAACTTTCTACTTCCTGAGGTCTCAAGGCTCTGTGTCTCTTTCTCGGACAGCTATTAAACTTAAATTTCTTGGTTATAAAGACTGGCAAGAGCCTGTGGGGCAATTGTAGCTTCATAATCAGCTAAGATTCTAACGTTTCAAGGTCCTCATTTTGTTTTGTTTTGTTTTTTCACCCTTAGAGATTACTTTACTTTGGGGGGATATTCAGCTGTGCATCTAAAAGGAGAATTGTTATAGTTCAGCCAGCACTTCCAGGTACTTTGTATAGAAAGATCTTCTAGAATAATTAATCCCGCATATTGCCAGTACCAAGTTCTCCACCTATTTCAACACAGTTTTGCATGCTTAACATTCCAGCAGCACAGCTATCAGTGGTATCTGGTGACCTCCATGTTGCTCAATCCAATGATCTGCACCTTTTTGACCTACAGTAGCCTCACGTTGGCCTCCACGGCACCACACTCTTTTGTTGTCTTGTACATCTCTGGCCTCCCCTTGGTCTCATTTGTTCCTCCATTACTTTGCCTCTACAGTTGGAGTTCTTCCAGTTTCCATATTAAGCCCTCAACTCTTCTCATTGTATATACATTTACTACCGGGTCATCTATCAGTTTTCACAGCTTAAATATCACCTATTAACAGCTTAATGTAAGTTTACTCTTCCGAGCTCCAGATCCATATCATCTGACATCCCACGTGCCACCTCCGTTTGGATGTCTCAAACTCAACAGTCTAAAGAGAACTCTTACTCGTCCCTCCATAACTTCTTTCTCTCTCGGTGGTCACCACTTTGGTAAATGGCGTCTCCATCTACCCAACTGCTCATGTCAGAAACCTGGGAGTCATTCTGGACACACCCCCCACTCTTTCTCATCTTCAACATCTAGTTCATTTACAAATATCGATGATTCTACCTCCAGAATACGTTTGGGATTCATCAACTTCTCTCTACCTGCTTCCCCATAACTCGTCCAAGCTACATCAATTTCCACCTAGACTCCTACAATAAATTCATCTATTACTGACTTTTCAAAGTACTTTTTACCCAGTAGCCACAGTGGTCTTTTAACCCCTTCAGTGGCCTCTCATTAGTCTAAAGCCCAAAATACCTAACAACCCCCGACCGTCTCTCCAGCTTCACCTCCCACAATCTCCCCCACCCTCCAGCCACATCGCCTTCCGGTGCCTTGCATTTATTTCATTCTCTCTCATCTCTGGGTCTTTGCACAATGCTGTTCCCTCTGCCCAGAAAGCTCTTCCTGCACCACTTACTGTCTACTGCTCTTCACCTGCTTAGTTCTGTCAACTTTGAGATTGGCTTAAATTTCATCTCCTCACAGAGAATTTCCCTAACCTCCCTGCTAAATTAGCACCTGTACTTTTCTTTCATAGAACATATCACAATTTATAAGTCTCCGTTTTTCGAGTGCTTGCTTCTTTGTCTTTATTTGCCACTGTAGACCCTTAGCGCCATGAGAACAGGATCTATTTGTTCTGTCAGCTGCTACATATGTGATCAGTACCTGGTCAAGTACCTACCATGGCAGCACTCAACAAATGTCTGCTGACAAATAAATAAATGAATAAGCACAACGAAGAAAATTCTTTCACCTTCAAATCACTGGCTAATCAATACCCAAAAGACCCATCTCTTGAGTTTTAGTTTAGGCAGAGGGACAGTTTCAAAGCCACACACCGTGACTCTGGGGAAATCACTTCACGACTCGGTTCTCGCTGCTCGCGTCCGTCGGCTGCAGGGAGTTTCTCCGGCTGCGTGACTCCAGCACCTCACTCTCCTGCAGCTCCTTTTGATTTTAACATATTCTCAGGGGAGATTTTCGCGGGTTGGGGGCTCATACCCAATGCTTAAGGATGTGGAAGGGCCACACAAGAAAGCACGCCAGTGTCGTGGCAGCCTTTCTGGAAAAGCTGCCGTCCCGCAGTGCTTACTAAGAAATGAAACAGACTTATCTATAATCCAGAAACTCCATTCCCTGGAGATGACCCCCCAGAGAACTCTGCACAGGCCCTCGAGAGGGTCATCGTGCCATTGTCTGTAGTACGACGGAGCTGGATGCAACCTGAGAGCCCATGATTGGGAGAATGGATCGTGGGATATACGCAAGTGACGGGAAACTGTGTCTCCAGAAAAGGCAAGGAGCCGGATTCACATGCAGCGCCGTGGGCAGAGCTAAATCTTAGCTGTAGAATGTTCTTAGTTAAAAACGAAGCTTCCACTTTGATCCAGTCAAATGCATCTACCTTTCCCCTGTGTTTTGCATCTCTGAAGCCTTATTTATGAAATCCTTCTTCTGGCTGTAACTTTACCTCTGACTTGCAGGTTTTTAATGCATTTGGAATAAGGAGCCAACCTGACTTTTCCTTCCCTGCAGCGTCCACCCTGGCCATACTCTGGCCAATTCCTACTATGTTTTGTGTCTTTCAAACATTTTACGCCAGTTCTGATCTCCCCATGTTTAGCACTGAGCCTCTGGAGGTTCCTTGGCCAGAAGTCTCCCGAGGGAGGATGGGGTGCTGCCAGCCAGGCCCCAGGTGGGCAACACCAGGCTCGGGAGAGCAGGGCTGCTAGGCCTCCTTCCGACGCCGCGCTTCTACATGAAACTGAAAACTATGAATTTTTTTTTTTTATGAAACTGGCTATTAGCAGCTAACCGTTCAACTTTATGTTCTCTTTAAATTGAAAGTCCTCAAAGATGTCTTTTAAGTGCAAATAGTTTTCTAGTTTTAGACAGATGGAAAAAGTTGGGCATTGTTTTGTTTCCCCCAAACTACATAAAATAAACATTTCCCTCAATGACTGCATCGCTGAGAATATGCCCAGAGGAAGCCTCACTCAACAGGCAGCTGCTCTTCAATAAAAGGAGAAGAGAATCCAGGCCGCCTTGTTCATCCTGAGATAAGTGTTATTAAAAATCAGATTCGAGGCGGGAGGAGAAAAACATCCAAAGAAAACAGCACAGAGAGGTCGGGGGACTCAAGGGGACAGAATCCGCGGCGCACAACCAGCAGATGGAGACAGCAGAGGCTTCGTGAGGCGCCTGAACATCCCCGTTTAGTCGGGGCTCAGGCCCATCTGCCCGTCTGTGGATGACGGCAAACACACCCGAAGTCAGGCACTCAGACGACACGCCTGCCACCACTCCAGCCGGCCTTGGAAGAGAAGGGAGGCTGGCAGGTCACACTGTCGGCGCCAGAGCAGCGCACTCCTCACTCAAGCCCCCACCTGCACTAGCGGGCAGCCTTGCCGTCTGCACGCCACTCCCCCCTGCCCCCCCCCCCCCCCCCCCCCACCCCCCCCCCCCCCCGCAAAGAAAACCAGTTCCAACCCTGGAGTCTTGGCTGACCCGGAAGCCGAGACTCCCAGAGGAGCTCGCTCTTCCAATTTGCATCCACCCTTAAACAGGCGTTTAATGAGCACCTACTGTATGCCAGACCACACAGACCTTGAAGGGCAATTTGTGACGAGCCCAGTGCTGATGCAGAGATGTCCCTGCAGAGAGAACCTCAAGCCTCGGTGGCTTTTAGAAACCCTCTAGCCTTGTCTCCTCGGAAGAGGGCACCGAGAGCCAAGGAGGCCCTGCCTTCCAGCATCGGGAGAAGGTCAGCCTCTGCGGGCCGGCGTAGGCCACCCAGGAAGGCGTCCACTGGCACAGAAAGAAGCTCGCACTTCCCCTCCTCAAGGCACCCAAGTCCCTCAGACGGCGCCCCCATGACAGCCAGCCTGGGCTGACGGTCCAGGTCCTGGGGCACAAGGCCACCGGCCCCTATGGGAGGCGCAGGGCGTGGCCAACAGACTGAGTTCCTCCAAAGGGTCCAGGCCACCGGGTCCAAATCGGTGGTTCCCAGCCGAGGGCGAGCTTGCCCCCGGGACACTCAGCAAGGCCCAGAGGCGGCCAGGCCTGGGACGCGGCTAACGTCCTGCAAGGCACAGGGCGGTCCCCTACGGCGAGGAACTGCTGGCCCAAAGTGTGACGGGACTGAGGCTGAGAATCCAGTTTACAAGCTCTGTCCATCCTGGGAACACAAATAAACCCGGCCCTCTCGCCCTTCCCCAGCCGCTGACAAAAACCACATGGCCCGCCCTCCCTCCCAGAGGGAGAAGTGATTACTGTCTTTATCTCGGGCACCAGAGCCCGCCCTGCGGGGCACGGGCCCCACAAGCCAGCCCTCTGGGAACGCGCTGGCGGGCTCCGCAGCCCCGCCCCCGCCCGCCGCCGACCCGGGGCTCACTCGGGATATTCTGATCCTCTGGAGACCACGGAGAAGCTGGCAGCTGGGAAAGGCGATATTTATGGAAAACAAACGCCGAAAGTGCCTGAGCGCATTACCACAGGCGCAAAACCACGGTCCAAACGGTCCAGGGGAACCGGGTGGATTCTTCCTTCAGTGCCCTCGGGAAGTGCCTGGTACAGCCGCTTCTGCCACCTGCCCTGCTGGGGCCTATCCCAGTTCACCCAAGGGCGCCTGCGGTGGGCTCCCAGCCCTGAGGGCCTAGCGGACGCTCGCAGTGGGCTTTTAACGTGAAATCAGCGAGCCCCAGCTCACCGACACGGGGTGGGTCTTCTGCCGTGGGAACGATCCGGGAACGATGAAGATCACTGTGACCGTTCAGTAACCTGAAGCCTGGGGCGGCCGGCATTCGTTCACGTGCGCGCACACGCACACGTGCCCGCACAGGCGGTCCCTTCCTTTTGCACACTTTGCCAGGGGAACGGGGACAACGTCACCCGTTCTCGGGGAAGGAGGAAGGGAATCAGGGTGCCTGGAGCCTGCTCCACGCTGGGTCCCCATCTTCCTCAACAGTAAAGCCCCCACCCCGTGGACACCGCCGAGCTCACCACAGCCGATGCCACCTCACAGCGACGCTCAGGCCGCTCGGGGCGCCAGCAGCACCTGGGGCTCATCGCAGGCAGGCCGCCCAGGAGGTAGGGAGCCCCTTTCCCTGGAGACAAGACCACAGGTGTCAGGAACGTGGGCGGGAGCCGCCGGGGCGGGGCGGGGGTGGGGGGGAAGCGGCCAGAGGGGCTGGAGATTCCTTCTCATCATCAACGTAAGGCGGCTGGCACCCACCCGACACCAACACCCTTCACTCCTCCTTCAAGTCTCTCTGGTTCCCACCGGCATGAGGAGGCAGGGAGTCTGGGACCTTGGGGGTGCGCTGGGAGATGAGGGGCATCTGCAGATCGGGAGGGGCCGCATCGGATTCTTTACACAGGGGAACAATGCAGAGCGTGAGTGTGTGTTCACGTGCGTGAGTGGGAGAGCATGCGTGTGCATCCTTGTATCATCAGGATCCTCAGACAGACCCTAATGCAAAGGTCCCGGGCTCTGGTGATGCTCCGCCAGCAACCTGTGGAGCAGGGCTGGAGGGGGCGGGCCCGGCTGCAGGGTCCCCAGTGCCGGCTCTGCCTCTCCGTAGCTGGCGAAGGGGACAGCACGGCCAGGAGGCACAGAGCACCCAGGCCACACCCAAGTCAGAGGCCGGCCAGGAAGGCCAACTCCCTGGGGGCCGGGAAGCCTGCCCCAGGCAGGTAACACAACCCACTTCCAGCCCAGAGAAGTGTGTCAGTGAGACCCGCCCGCTTCAATAGACTCTTTCTCTGAAAGGTTTCGCAAAGCCACCACCAAGTTGAATATGTCGTGGGCCTTCTCCTGCCTGGACGAACGTAAAAGGAACAGGTCTAAAAGGGGTCTGTGAACAGGAGAACAAAGCCCTGCTCCCCGCAGATAGCGTCTAGCCTCGTGGTCACCCTGCTCCCCCCACCCCCCGGCCAGAGCGATCACCCACGTGACACAGAGCAGGCCTTCCAGGGCCCACCCGGGACCGAGGCACAGCGACCCGCAGGACAGGCAGGGCTGGCCCGGCCACGTGCTCTTTGCTCTCCATTCAGCAGAGAAAAGACTGGGCAGGACAGTGACCATGAGCTGAACACCCGCCCTCTCCACCCACGTGACGCAGCCCCTCACAGGCCTCCGAGAGTGCGGAGGGGAAGGGACCAGGCCTCCGGAGAACAGCGAGGCGGCGTCAGGACGAAATCCAAACCCCTGCCACCCCGGGCCTGTGGGCGGGGCATTCAGGCGCTCGTCCAAGGAGAGTTAAAAACAATAACACAACATTGTAAATCAACTATCTTCGATAAGGTTAATTTTTTTCAAATAGTTAAAAAAAAACCCAAACAAAAAACAACCCAGTAACATCAGCTACTCATTGGTCAGTTTTTCCTTATCCCCCATGCCTGCAACTCTGCACAACGTTGGTGATAAAACACTCCACTCCCCCATCAGAGGGACCCCAAATCCGCCCTTGGTCCACCCCTGCCTGTGAGCGCACAGGAAAACCGCGTGCAGGAGGCGGTCAGGACGCACGGCCGAGCAGAGAGCTCTGCACACACCACTGCACCGGCCCGCGGGTCACTGGATCCTCCAGATCACGAGACTGGGGCCAGAAGGGCCGCCGAGAGCCCACCGCCAAGCAGTGGCCCTGTCAGGCCTGCCACACCCTTGTCTTCACACCCTAAAGGCACAAGGTGGGTTTCGCGCCAGAGGAGAACCGGAGAACATGAGCATTCGCGACACCTGGGGACACACACAAAACGTCAGAGCTCAAGCCCCTCGACCCAGCAGCACCACGAAACCGAGTGACGAGTCTCCTGAGGCCACTGAACGCCCTCTGCTCTGAGGCACACGTAAGACCGGTGCACTTGCTCGTGTGAAGCCACCAAAGCCAAACGTGACCTGAGATGCGCTGAAGAGTCCGTGGGCGTCTGAAAAACACCCATGTTTTATGGCGCTTCCCTATTAAGACAATGAGCTGCTTTCCGCCGAGTGAGCAGAGCAGCGTCCCGCAGGGCCTGGAGCGCCCCGGCCCCGGGCAGGGACTCAGTGCTGCTCCCAGCACGACCTCCACTGCCCCGGCGCGCCCCCCAACGCACCGCACCTCCGGAGACCCGCTTCCTCCACCGCCTTCGCGTGCGCTTGCCCCTGAGATTGCCCCGGCGCCTCGGGCACTGAGGGGCTTTCTGAACCGCGTGTGCCGCCTGCATGGGACAAGGTCCTCTCTGCGGCCAATGACACGCATGCCAGACCCCTGGACGGCCATCTTCAACCGAAAGCAGAAATCGCCCCACGGCACTGCAAGACGCCGTGAGGAGCGCGGAATGACCACCAGCAGGCGTCCTGCAGACAGCCCCGCAGAGCAGTGAGAAGAGTCCGTCCTGAGCGCCACCGCGGCAGAGGCCCACGGGCCTCCTCAACAACACGCCTGCCCGGTGCTTCCCGGAGCGGCGGCCGCCCCGCGCCTCCTCGCGCCCCTCCTCACCTGCCGTCACAGTGTCCACGTCCCTGGCTGCCAGCTCCTCCATCTCCGACCTCTTTCTCAGCTCAAACCTCCGGGACAAGCCTTCTCGGGGTTTCCATAACTCCTGGATCAGGAGGGGCTTCTCGTTGTCGCCGAACACCCGGAAGCCCTCGGCCTGCCACTGCCGCCCGGAGTCGCCGGCCTGGCCCACCACGTCGCACAGCACGTACTGGCCGGCACGCTCAGGGCTCAGGGCGTAGCGCTCCAGGGCCTCCCTCACCAGCTCCCGGGCGCTGGACGTGCCAGTGGCCAGGACGCTCTTGTAGTGGGTGCCCGTGCACACGCTGTCCCCGAACACCTTCAGGACCCCAGGGGCCGAGAGCTGGGTGGAGAGCTCGGCCGGGTCGTCGCTGCTGCCCAGGCTGGAGCAGGTGGTGTCCAGGTCACGGTACTTGTAGCTCAGCGTCCGGGACAGCACGCTGGACAGCAGCTGGCCCTGCCGCTTCAGCTTGCTCTTGGCAGGTGGGGACATGATGAAGTGGGTCCCATAGAACATGGTGGGCCCGTCTTCACGGACGAGCACTGAGGGCTCTGGTCAACGGCAGGGAAAAGGCCGCGTCCTGGGAGAAAACGAAAGGCGGGTTACCATCGACCAGCAGAGCGACAGGAGCCCACGAGGCTTGGGGGAACATCAACAGACTGGACCGGCCATCTAGGGCCCGGCGCCCCAGCAGAAGCCGCGGACACGGCACCTCGGCCGGGTCCAACAGTGAGGATACAGACGAAGCCGGCGGGACCGCAGGGGACAAAGCAGGTTGGAAGGGGCTGAAATGCCCTTCAAGGCAAGCCATTACTGGGAAGCACGGTGAGGTCACCCAAAGCCAAGACACGAGAAGCCTGGGCACCACGCGCTCCGCACAGCAAGCTACCAAGAAACAGGGCCGGCCAGGGTGGGGCTGGGTGGTGCTCGCAGGGTGGAGTCCCGGCGGGGTTGCCCGGCCTCATCTGAGTCAGCCCCCATCTATCCCATCGCACCCAAAGTCATAAACAACTCTGAGCGCACAAGGCCGTGTCTTCCTAAACTCCACCTCCCCCGCACCACAGCCTATGCTACCGAAAATTCATCACAAACAGCAGTGGAACTAGGCAATCAGGCCAGGTGGCAGCCACACGAGCAGGGCAGTAAGCGACCGGGCATTCAAAACACGCCCCCAGGATGCTGCTCCCGGATGACTGGTCCTGGCTCTGAGGAGCCACTTCCCTGGGACGGCCGCACTAGAACGGACACATGACCACAATGCACACAAAAGGGCCCTTCCAGAAGCAGTGGAGGCATGGCTGGAATGCATGTGTCCACCCACGGCGTCCAGCCTGGCTTTCGGGCACTGGCCAGGCCGGAGAGGCAGTCTTGCCGGGTAAATTAGAAAACAGCTCTGGGGCAACAAGGTGCGTCATAAAGTCATGACTCTCGTGTGCTTAATGCCCCAAAGGCGTAGGGTTCCAGACAGAGAGTTCGTCAGACCCCCACACACACCCAAAGCTCCGGGGGAGCAGGCGGGCAGAGTCCAAGGAAGATGTCCTGCTTCACAACGAGTTGGTGGAGGCTGAACACCGCCCATCTCCTGACTCTGTGCCCCACTTCCAGGCAGACAGACCGAAGAAGAAAGGGCCATTTTCTAGAAGGCTCTGGAAACAGTGGCCCAGGACCTGGTGGGAGCAGCCCTGGGCACCTGCCGTGGATGAATGTCAGCACTGAACTCCGCTACAGTCCTCTTTTCAGCTCTGACTCACTCGTGGTCACAGGCGTTGGGAGAGGCTTTCAGGAAGGGGAGGGGACTGCCCAGGGCGGGAAAAATGCCTAGGGAGCCCCCCAAAGAAAAGGAGCGACCCGACCCCGAGGGGCCCAACAGGGCAAGTGGCCCAGCCTCGACACTGACACTGAACTGGGCTCTTCCCGGCTGGCCCCTGGGCCTCGGTCACATCTGCGACGTCATCACTCCCACCAGGGCTGTCGTGAACGAAGGCTGAGCAGCAGACCCGCCCTTCAGTTCCTCTAGAACCAGCCACCTGACATCCTCGGCGAACCCTGCACGCTTCAAGATGCTCTGACGACTTCACGCACCAAAGGCCGGGTTCCGAACACGAAGGTCTGCCCCATGGTGGGGTGGGGGGCGGCACTCCTCCTGTGCCAACAGCGTGCTTCTGTTTACCACGCAGAGCCTTTTACTGCGGACCAGCCTTCCGAAGCCTGAGCCTGCTGAGAACAGCCAAGTGTCCCAAGCAGAGGAGCACACGAGGGCCTCCGGGCTGGGGAGTAGAGCTACGAAGCAGTATCTAGCCGGAGGCTGCTTCCCCTCCCCCGAGGAAAGTGCCCAGCCTCCCTGTCAGCCGCTGCGGAGCCCAGAGCAGGTTGCGGCTCCCCCCGTGGCCCCATCCAAGGCCCCGGCCAAACTTACAACAGAAGCGTTTCCAGTAGCCCTCACGTGACAGGCACACGGCTTTGGTTCGCACATCACATCAGCGGCTTCAAACCACGGCGCCTTCAGACGTCACACAACCCGCCTCAGAAACTTCCAGCACGTGCCTCTGGCCACCACACGTTCTCGGCGGACCTGACCCCTCCACAGACACCTGGCTCACGTCAGGCACGGCCCCGGTGGTCCCGACCCAAACCCCCAGGGGCCCCCAGGGCAGCCCCTGCCACCAGGCAGCGTCTTGCTGCGAAACCTCTGCCTTTGGAGATAATGCCGAGGGTAAATTTAAATACAATGTGGAAAACGGCGGAAACAGTAGAAAACCAGGTCTCAGCAGAAGCCCAACTCCCAGAAAAGTCACAAAGTAAACACGGGGATTCAAAAGGCCCTCAGATACAACGGAGAAGTAAAATGCTGTTTTGCACCCAGGGGTGAACCTTACAGGCTCTGTAAGGTCTGAAGCTTATACAATTCTGCTTTAATTAAAAAAGAAATAGAAAATTACAAATACGCAGCTGCTAGGTCCCCTCCCAGGGCCTTGGAAGAGAGCCCACTCCCTCCTTTTCTAGGGCAAAGTTAGCAGCATCACGAAAATGGGGTAGAAAATGTAGGACAGACGGTGACTCTCTCCCTTCCAGTAACTGCTTCATAAGCCCAAAGAAGTCCCAGTAAACACAGACCCTGATCTACTCGATCCATTTTATCAGGAGGCTCTCTTCTCCTCACGGTCACTCCCTCTGTGGCCATCTTCAGAGAGGAACCACAGAGTGTGGTCATTGCTCATGTGTGCCCTTCCTCCACAATCACAAAACGCAGAGCACGGCCTCTCCGTCAAAATGGGCCAGATGCGTTTGTGCAAAGGGCAAGAGGAGTGCAGGAGTTTCCTACAGAGCGGAGCACACCCAGGGTCACCAGATCTGTTTTTTCGGAAGCATGACCTGCCTTTTCCTTTTCTGCTCAGTTCTCTCCTCTTTCACACAAATACTCGGAGAAACAGGGGCCCAAGTCGCTTGCTGTTGCTTCTCCTGGAGAATGTTTTTCTCTTGTTCTCAAGGAAGAGTCCGATTTCTGATGAAAACAAGCCCATGTCACAGCAGCGAGTGAGGTCACTGTGGGGCTGACCAAATGGGTGGAGGGACACGGCCATTCCAACACTGCAATGTGGGATCCATTAGAATTTCCACCAGGGCAGGAAGGGAAGAGGGTAGCTTCACAGGCTCTGCTTTATCCCCACCGGCCATAAATCCTATCTTGACAACTCAAGTCAGAGTAACGCTTTTAAATACAAAAATAATTTAACCAGATTTAAATCTGACATGCTAGCCCCTTGAGAGGGGGCGGAATTTTTCTGCCAGCGGGATTAATGGCTGGCTCCTCTCTGGAATGAAGGAGAGGTGGCCTGTGCTAACGGGAGACACCTGTAACTAACCAGAGACACCTGTAATCACTGGTGGGCGGGGACTCAAAATTCTTTTCAGCAATTCAGATTAATCAAACACTTGACCAGGTGCTGGGAGCCCGAGTGTCTGGGTCTGCAGCCCCTCCCCAGCCCCAGCGACTGGCTCCCTAATGGGAAACAATCCAGTTTCTTCTGAAGGGTTCCCCAGGAGCCCCAGCTCTGCATGTTTCCTTAGATGCACTACTTGTCGAGCGGCTGGAAGTGGTACAGAAATAGCTGGGAGACAATGCTTTCAGCTGGCACACGAGTGGGGAACGCGCTGCTGTGTGAACAGGAAAACCGGGGCAGGCTGTGGGCCGGGGGATGTCCCCCCAACCCTGGAGGGAAGGTACAGACGCCGGCGCCTTGTGCCCACCTGCAGACCTCTCTCCAAGGGGGCCAGAGAGACTGAGGCCCGGGGGACCCCGCCGTTGAGGTGCCAGGCTCCAGGGGTTGCAGGGGGGTGGCCGCAGCTGACCCCCTGGAACCTGCAGGCTGGGCCGCCCTCGCCCATGTAGCCAGCCTGTGGGACCCGCCCCCCGAGGCCGCGCCCGGGTCCCCCCCACCAAGAGAGCCGCCTGTTTCCATGGCAACCGGACAAGCGGAGCCTGGGTGGCCGGAGAAATGCCCCGTGCGGGCCCAGCTGCCCCAGCGCGCGCCCGCGGCCTCCCCGCCCGGCCAGCCTCTGCGCCCCGGAGCCCCGTACGCCACGGAGCGACCCCCGCCTCCGCTCCTCTCGCACCCCGCACTCACCTCCAACACAGCCCGCCGCCGCCGCCGCCGCCGCGTTCCCGCGCGGCTCCCACACCCGCCGTCAGCTGGAGCCCTTGCTCCGGACCCGCGCATGGCGCGGCGCCTCCTGCCGGCAGCCCAACAGACCAGGCGGGCCCTCGGGGGGGTGGGGCCTATGTGGGCGGTGCCTCGTGCTGGGCGGAGCCGGCGGCTGGAAGAGGAGAGCTCGGGCTCCTCCTGCGGCCACCCAATAAATGGAGCGGGGCCTTGGGGAGGGGCGGGGCCTCCGAGGGACTAGCTACAGGCCCAATGGACTTGGATGAGACCTCGAGGGGGCGGAGCCTCCGGGGATGGTTGGGGCGATACGAAAAGGGCTGGGCCCTGGCTCCTCCTGCGGCCACCCAACGGTCGTACACAAGGCTTGGAAGGGGCGGGGCCTAGAGGGGGCGGAGCTGATGAGGGGTAGGGCTGAGCGCCTGCACCACCAGCAGACCAATTAATGGGTGTGAGCGTGGCCTTGAAGGCAGGGAAGGGCGGGGTTGGCTGCGGAGAGGCGGGGCTGTGCGGCGCACCCCCTAAGCTTCAGCTCAAGGGGCGGGGCCTATGCAGGGGCGGGGCCAGTGCTAAGCTCCGGGGCCACGTGCCAGCCTCAGGCTGGGGGCGGGGACTGGCAAATTGTTTTGTCCCCACCTTCTAGTCCCTAGGCGGACAAGGCCAAGGAAAAGAGGAAGCAGGGTAAGGCAAGCGCTGATGAGAAGGGGGCGGTACAGAGCTGTGACATATATGAACATCCAAAACACAGAAAGAGGACAAGGGTGGCAGGCTCCATCTCCCTTACAATCTGTCCCCCACCCAGCAGCCAGAGTCTTAAATGACAAATCAGATCATGGCACTCTTCTGCTTAAAACGATGCAAAACGGGGCCAGGTCAGCTCCGGGGCTCTGGCCCAACGGCCCTCCTCGGGTAACTTGTTTTAAAAGAAGTTCGTGTCCTTAGAGCTCACTTTGGCACCGGTCGTCGGGCTGGGGTTTCGCCTTGGAGAAAGGCTTCTCACAGACAGCTCCCTTTGTCTGCTCATGGTCTAGACCTGGGGGATTCACGTGGCCTCGGATAAAAAGATGAATTCTTGAATTCTGACCCTGAGAGTAAATCTTTTTGTTGACAGTGGTTGGGGTATAAAGTTATATGGTAATGACCCCAAATTTGCGAAGGGAAAGTGGGGAGGAGGGAACAGACATTTATTGACCACCTACTGTATGCCAGACTCTATGCCAGGGGCTTCACGTTGGTCATCTCATCTAAAGCTCCCATCAACTCTTGTGAGGCAGACGTTGTTACACCCAGAGAGGTCAAACAGCTAGAGGTAAAGCCAAGAATTGAGCCTTGGACTGTGTGATTAAAAAACATCCTTTCAGGGCTTCCCTGGTGGCACAGTGGTTGAGAGTCCACCTGCCGATGCAGGGGACACGGGTTCGTGCCCCGGTCCGGGAAGATCCCACATGCCGCGGAGCAGCTGGGCCCGTGAGCCATGGCCGCTGAGCCTGTGCGTCCGGAGCCTGTGCTCCGCAGCGGGAGAGGCCACAACAGTGAGAGCCCCGCGTACCGAAAAAAAAAAAAAACCTTTCAGGACTCCCCATAAACATGTACAACCTACCCCACTCTGAACCCAAAGAGGCAAATATCAGAGCTGGAAGGAGAGCCTGGGTTTAAACCTGTGTTTTCCTCCTAAGGCATTCCTCACCATGATCCTGTCGCAAAGCCCACCCCTCCCAGCAACCCTCTTCAGCAGGGGTTGGCAAACTCCCACCTGTGGGCCAAATCTGAGCTGCTGTTTTTGTAAATAAAGTTTTATTGGAACACAGCCACACCCCTTTGTTTGTGTATTGTCTAAAACCGCTTTCATGCAACAGAGACTTTACAGCCCCCAAAGCCTAAAATATTTAGTATCTGGCCCTTTACAGAAAAATTCATGGGCCCCTGCTCTTCAGGATCTAATGATGCCAACTATTTGCTATTACTACGCCGTTTCACACATCTCTGTCTTTGCTCAGGCCACCCCCTCTGCCTTTTCCAAGGCTGCCATAACAAAATAGCACAGATTGGGGGCTTAAACGGTGGAAATTTATTTTCTCACGGTTCTGGAGGCTAGCAGTCCGAGATCAAGATGCCGGCAGGGTTGATTTCTTCTGAGGCCTCTCTCCTTGGCTTGTAGACGGTCAGCTTCTCCCTGCGTCCTCACACAGCCTTTCCTATGTGTGTGTCTGTGTCCTAATCTCCTCTTATAAGGACACCAGTCAGACTGGATTAGGGCCCACCCTAATGACCTCATTTTAACTTAATCACTTCTTTGAAGGCCCCATCTCCAAATACAGTCACATTCGGAGGTGCTGGGGGTTAGAGCGTCAATGTACGGATTTTAAGGAAACACAATTCAGCCCCTAACGCCAATCTTCATCACCTGGCTAATTTCTACGCATCCTTTAAGACTCAGATTAGGTGTTACTTATGTAGTTGCTCCCCTCCAAAGTGGCCCACAGTGATTCACACCTTCTAGTTTTCACACCTGGGTGTAGTCCCCTCCCAGGCTGAACAGGGCTAACCTGTGTAAACAGTAAGACGTTGCCAAAATGACAGTGTCATTATAAAAGACCTGGCTGGGCTTCCCTGGTGGTGCAATGGTTAAGAATCCGCCTGCCAAGGCAGAGGACACGGGTTCGAGGCGTGGTCCGGGAAGATCCCACATGCCCTGGAGCCACTAAGCCTGTGCGCCACAACTACTGAGCCTGCGCTCTAGAGCCCACGAGCCACAACTACTGAGCCCGCGTGCCAAAACTACTGAAGCCCGTGCACCTAGAGCCCATGCTCCGCAACAAGAGAAGCCACTGCAATGAGAAGCCTACGCACCACAACAAAGAGTAGCCCCCGCTCGCTGTGACTAGAGAAAGCCCGCGCGCAGCAACGTGCAGCCAAAAATAAAAATTAGTTAATTTTTTAAAAAAGACTTGGCTTCTGCCCTTCTTGGACCATCCCCTCTGGAGGGAGCTAGCCGCCATGCTGGGAGGACACTCAAGCAGCCCTAGAGAAGTCCACGTGGTGAGAAAACCAACGCCTCCCGCAAACCGATATCACCAACTTGCCGTCGGCGTGAGCCATCCTGGATGCAGGTCCCCCAGCCCCAGCAAAACCTTCAGAGGGCTGCAACCCTGACCAACATCCTGACTGCATCCAGGACCACCCAGCAAAGCTGCCTCCACATTCCCAACCCTCAGAAACTACGTGAGATGATAAATGTTTATTACTGATTTGCACCACTAAGTTTTGGGGCAATTTGTTATGCAGCAATAGATAAAACGAACACCCCTTATCCAGAAAGGCCTCCCTGACCCCCAGACTTGGCTACATGCCCCTCCTCTGTGCTCCCACAGACTTTTATTTTTTACCTTTTTATTAACCAAGTCCACACTTTATCAAACCATGTTCCTTAAATGCAAATCAGATGTTGTTCCTGCTTGGCCTGGAGTCCTCTAATCGCTACCCTTCCTCCAGCTGGCCCCTGCGGACCACTCCACCTGCTCTCTCCCTCCACCACGGAGCCCCAGCACGACGAACTTCTGTTTTCGAACACATTAAGCTCGTTCCCTCCTCTGAAACCTTTCCCCTGCTGTGTCCTCTTCCCCAAATGCTTGTCCCGTTGTGTTGGCGTGGTGCCATTTTCCTCTCATTAAAACCCATCTCCACTATCATCTCCTGACCATTCTCATGGTGGCCACCCCTGTGGTCATTCTCTGTCTCATAACCTGTCTCGTTTAATTCACAGGCCTTTATCACTATTTTTGTGTGTGATATTTGTGTGGTGTATTTAACACACACTAGGATTTCAGTTCTGTAAAGGCAGGCGCCTCATCTCTCTACTGCTACGCTTGGCACCAAATAGGGGCTCCATAAATATTTGTTATAAGAATAAACAAAGCAATGAATAGATTTCCACCTATCTCAACCTCTCACCCCCTCCCTCAACTGGAAGCTTCTCAAGGGCAAGTACTGAATTTTATTCATCTTCGTATTCCTGCACCTGCCCCACTGGCAGGTGAGCAAAACAAGTTTTTGAACTGTGAGGTTAAATATCTTTGGAAATCCATGGGACAAAAATGGAGTGTTGAGCTGCCCTCTGTGGCCACCAGAGGGCGGCAGAGTCCTGGGACTCAATCTAGGAAAAAACCAAATGAGCCCAAAGGAAAAACATCTGGTTAAGGTCAAAGGGCAGGTTCCCACGGGATGGCCGGTCCCGGGGCGGAGAGACTGGGCTCTCGGAGGCCAGGAGAGAGGAAGGGAAGGAGGCAGCAGGCACAGGGAGGACGTTAGATCCCAGCCTTTCCTTCAGAGACTGTTACATCCGCATCCCTAGAAGGGGCTGGAAACAAGTGGTTTAACGCTCAGGTTTCATGCTCAGTGATGTCGGCACCACTACCCAGAATGGCAGTGCTTCGGGCCTGGTCATTCCCCGTAGGCTCATCTGGCAAAAGCTCTGCAAGTGTTATTTTTCGTCCCACATCCTCTGCTGAACAACTTCCAGTTGACAGTGAGTACCTCCCGGCACTGGTAACGTGTGGGACGCCAGGACTTCAGAGTTGTATAGTTACCCACCCGGGTCCTTGGGCTCTTGAAGCAACAGAAATTGACAAGAGGCCAGACGAGGAGTTCAGGCCAGGCTGCCGCACGAGGGAGTGAAAGCAAGTAACGGCTGGGGGAGGGGCAGAGGGGCGGCTTAGGTGGGCTGCCCACCCCCTTGGTGGTGCAGGGAACATACCCTGCCTTTGCTCCAGGCGCCTCAGAAGTGGCAGTTGGTTTGTGGCCTTTTTGTATCTCATTGTTCCTAATTTGCCCCGTTTGCGCATGCCTGCAGTTATTTTTAGTCCCTTTTAGTTTCTTTGTATTCTGTTGCTTGAGGAGACCTTTGTCCAGGTGCCAGCCCTTCAGCAGAGGGTCCCAGCCTAGCTCAGTAGGGGGTGCCAGAGCTACAGAGTAATATATAGGGTGCCAGGACCACCCCATTAAAATAGATCACGATGTCAAGTTACTTTACCTTTTTTTTTTTGCGATACGCGGACCTCTCACTGTTGCGGCCTCTCCCGTTGCAGAGCACAGGTTCCGGACGCGCAGGCTCAGCAGCCAGGGCTCACGGGCCCAGCCGCTCCGCGGCACGTGGGATCCTCCCGGACCGGGGCACGAACCCGTGTCCGCTGCATCGGCAGGCGGACTCGCAACCACTGCGCCACCAGGGAAGCCCAAGTTACTTTACCTTTTAATGCCAGGTCTGTTGTAAAGAACTTTGAATCACGTTTAATTAACTGTTAAAAATTTTAGGCTGAGTGGGATTTAAGAAATCATCTACCCCAGTGATTAGGAAACTTTTCAGTTCTAGTTTCTAGTGCTCTTGGGACTGGGAGTATGTTGAAAAGTTATATTTCAAGCCATGTAGGTACCAGGATTAATTTCATTAGCCAAAAACATGACCATGTGATAAACACAAACTCACAAATATGGGCAAATATGGCCTCAAGAAAACACACTGTGGAAGAACCAAGTGTCAGACCCTTGGTTGGGTCTGACATTTCCATGAAAATTAATTTTTTTATTGTTTACTTGATTTGTTACCTGGAAGCATTTTTTTAGAAGGTACCATTTGGCTTATGATGTATGTTTGCAAAAAATAATTAAGACGGAGAAAATACTACATATTAACTTCTATTTTTAACTGAGACTTGAGAACACGTGGCCATTTTTCAAATTGGGGGCGAAAGAGCTTGGTCCAGCTGGACATATTTTTCTAGTACCCAAGGAAAGAAATGTGTGAGAGCCCCTGATGTAATCCACCGTCTGCACTGATGTGGAACAGAAGCCAGGAGAGGCTAAGGGACTTGTCCAAGATCACAAAGTTTCATCACCAACAGATTATTCCTCCCTTGTAATATAGCACATTCAAAAATGTGGGCAAGCAGGAGAGTAGGGAGTTTTCACAGTGATTACTTCTGGGCCATGGAGCTTGTGGCAGACTGCAATGTCCAAAGATAGCCACGTCAACACACCCACAGCAGTACCTACCCCATCCCACACAGTCTTCTTACTCAGGACCCTCCTGAACCAGGTGGTGGGCAGGAGGTCTGCCTTCCCTCCCCTCGGTCTTGGCAGGATCTTTTTGGCTGTGTCCAACAACAGAACATGGCAGCATGGACGATGCAA